AATAATTTAAAATATGTCGATCGAGATTCTATTACAAGTAGTCTTAATTCAATACCAACACGAACACGTACAGTTAATAATAAATTTTATGATCATCCAATTATTGATAATAAATATGGATCACCATTATCACCAACAACTATGGTTGTACCAATAAATAATAATAAAAAAAAGACTGAAAATGATGATGAAGAAGGAAATGAATCACCTGTTTATTCAACAACAACTGATGTTTTATCTGAAAGTGGTTCATTTCTTGTTCCAACATCATCATTATCAAAACGATGTATACCACCTCAAACTAAACCACGTTATTCAACATTAAGTTCACTTCGTTTACCTATTGAAAATCTCGATAAAAGTCCATTACCATTACCTAAACCACGTTCACGTTCAAATTCTCGTACACGTTTAAATAATCCAAATTCTGATAATTCATCATTTTTATATGAAGAACGTCCAGTTTCATCAACAGATTCTGGTATGGGTCAATCTGATGTTGTTTGTTTACCAAATGGTGATACAATACGTTCAGGTCTTGTTAAATCAAGACAAAATAGTTTACAAAAACATTATGTTACTCCATCTTCTATTCAACAACAACCAAAATATCAAACATTAACATCACCAGTTGTACATGGTACTGAATGTTAAATCTTTCTTGAGATGGGTTTTCGTTTTCGTTTTTTTTTTGTATAGATTTATATATAAAGTTTGTTTTGTTTTCCGTCGATTTCTCTTCATACAAATCTCTTTATATGCATGTATCAGTTAGTATTCTATTTTAAGAACTAACGACAGTATTTCATGAAAAAGACAAATTTTAGCAAAAACAAATAAGATAAACTCGTGATTTTTTTTTTTGCATTCGTTTGTTATTATATGCAGTTTATTGTCTTTTATATACATATATGTGTCTCAGTGCAAGTGTGCGCGTGAAAGTTTTTTGTTTTTGTTCTTTATTTCCTGCTGTTGATTAGCTTTGTTTTGATTTATCTGATTTCCTAGTTTTTTTTTTTTTGCCCTTTGTATTTGTGTTTAAAGAAAAAAAAAGAAAAGAAAGATAAAACTTAGAATTGAATGAAACAATATATTATATAGTTGAATGATGCATGTAAGATTATCAGCACGTTTTCGACCTCCTGTCAAATTCTAGATCTGAATAGGTCGATTTGTGTAATTACGGATGCTCTCGCACATGTTAACTGTTGTTCCGAAGAGTATCTCGAGAATCGCAAAGACTCTGTTTCGCTCATACCTATCATTCGGCACATAGTGTACAGAGATGTCCATGATGGCAGCAGTTTTTTTTTCGAGACCATTGAAAAAATCCATGAGTTTGATAGAATTTTAGTGTTTACAAATGAAACACTCTGAGATTTAATAAATCTGATGGATTAGTAACAATATTTATTTTACAATTCATTCAGCCGCGATAGACATCTCTGATAGTGTATGAGATACAACTCCTTCGATCAGAAGATTGTGACTATTTTTTATTATGTGGATATTGTTTTTGTTTACATGACAACTTCGAGTATGCTTTGACGTGATAACCCATGTGATCGAAATTGAGTAAAAAATCGGCGATTAATTGTGATTTTTCATGTGACATTTATGATAATAGGATCTAGTCGTAATGTTCGAGTCTAAGACTATGGCTGTCTCGACGGATATACGACCGTCTTTTATCGTCGTACTCATAAAAGTTTCTTGTGAATGAGGAGAGAAGGATGATTTTGTTCTTCGTCAAATGCTGTAAATAATAAAATAAAATATATAATTTTTTATTTATAAGTACTTAATATTCATTTTGATCTTGAGATTGATTGAAATAAAAAGCAGCAAAATTTTTTTTCTAAATAAATATTTACTGTTGAAGTTTTATTGTAAAATTGTCGATTAATCATCAAAACTTAAATTGTATGCATGTGTTTAGTACAGTCCATATTACGAGAAATCATTTCTGTTATCCTTGTTTGAGAATGAAATGCTTTTATTATGAATGCAGCTTGTTTTCTTAATTGCTTAAGCTTTTGAACAATGATTCGAATATCTGATGATGGTGATTGAAACTACGTATGTGTGTTGATCATCTGCCCTCGCCATTTTTCTAGATCACCTATAATCTTATATTGCCATTGCTTTCCGATATCGACGTTCCGAGGCTATTTGAATCATCGATGGTTCGTTGTAGCTAAAACTAATCATTCGGCTAACATGTCCAAACCAACGGATTGGTTTCGCATTAGTATACTAGATAAATGATTATTCTACTTTTGTTAGATTCTATATTCAATACATTCATGAGAGAATTTACAATCAATTTCATTGTTCTTAAAAAATTTCTTGCCATACGGAAGATGTCGCTAAAAGTCAAGGATATCAACATGAAAAGACCTGAAGATTTCAAACTAATTTTCTTCATGTTTTATCTTTTACATTAAAAATTTATTCTTACTATCATTTATTAATTTTAATATTAACATATTTTAAATCATTTATTATTATTGACAATCTATAACTGACAGAATGGTGATCAACAACCAATAGAAAAACGTCCACGCATACACTCTTTCATTGTAACACTCATATTGTCTTGCTTAACTAGATTACGTCTACAATATATCAATTCTTTTGTGTTGACCTTTTTTTTTGTCCACATAGACTTCTTACTTGTAAAATAATTATTTATTTATAGATTTTATAGATAAAAAAACAAAAAAAAAAAACAATGCTTGCTGGACCACGTCCAAATTTTAATACTGGCCCTCCTTCACAATCAATGCAACAACAATCACAACCACCATCTCAAATGTATCCAAATCAATTTCAAGCACCCACTCTACCACCTAATTTTCCAGGCGCTCAACAACAACAACAACGTCCTATGTTACCACCCAATTTTCCTGGTAGTCAACAACAACATCAACTACCACCATCATCAAATCAACCATCTTCATCACAACCACATTATCCTACAGGCAATCAACAACCTCTACCACCACCACAATATCAATCACAAGTATCCAATCCTACAGGTGTTCAACAAATATCACCAGGACAATTCCCATCACAGCCACCTCCTTTAGCAACTAATCAACAACAATTCCCATCACAACCACC